AAACCTTGGACCTCCTAAGCAAATGTAATTAGGATTTACACTGGAGGGTTCAAAATTATTTGCAGATGCATAACTGCACTAGACTTATTTTTAATCCCAGGGTTCGGTTTTTTTTCTGTAGGCCCCTGGGTGGGTCTCTTCTCTTGGGGGTAAATTCAGCACAGACTCAGGTTCTAACCTGAACCACAGAAACTGAAACTACTACAAGGTACAATCACATTCTTAAAACGCAAGCACATCAGGGTTAAAAAAAAAAAGGATTCTACCTGTGAGGCAATCTCTTCACCACTTTTATAATAGAAATAGGGCTTTCCAGCCCTCTATCACACCAGACATTACATTTTACAAACTTTAGAGCAAAACCTCATGGGTAGCTCAAAACAACACCTCTCATTGTGTCCGCCAAAAATACTTTCGAACCAATATTACCAGAATACAGCAGGCATGTCTCACATTGGCAGAGCAGCTCATTCGCAGATTCTATTCCTAATGGACTATAAATAGAGTTTTGTGAATTCACACATTCCTGCAGTGCTATCTAAAATTCAAAGAGCCCCAAGATCACACACAAAAAGAGATCTGAAGGAACCTTAATGCAGCATGCAGTCTTAGCTGTAGGAAGAAACAGCCTACTGGCACAGTAGCAACCAGGTTTCACTATGTCAGATATCCTATAACTGAACAATCAAGCATTTTCATTAACCCTGTGTTTTAGCAGGTTCAGGCAAAGAGCTTTTCAAAATGAATGAGTTTTAGAGTTTTTTTTACTACAAGAATAACAATCAATTAAAACTTCACCACTGGAAAACCAAAAGTCTGCTGAACCCAAAGAGGGAGCACCATCTTTTATTGCTGATATCTAGTGAAATGAAGACCTGTCGCGACCCATACATTGACCAGCTCTGTCACAGAGAGTAACACAAGCACAGAGTCCTGGCTGGTACCCTTGGATGAAGACATACTTCGCTTTATGTTTTCAGATTAAGACTGTCTTAGAGGTTAAAGTGGGTGTTCTCCATGAAACAAGTAGTTTCGATACATAACCTGCCAACAGACACAAATGTTCAAAAAACATTCAATGTTATGCAATATATCACAGATATTTTAAGGATTTAAGATCTGTTATATGCTGAAATTAACAGTATTTTGAATTAATTTTGAAGCTTCCCTTTAAAAAAAAAACAAACACTAGCAGTCTGTCTAAAGTCTAAAGCTGTTCTTTATGGGTACTGACTGCTATATTTCATCATATTGTTCTGTATAGTGGAACAAAACCAAAACATAAGCATTTCTTGCAAAACCATGAGTGTTCCACAAATAAAAGTACCATCTGCATATAATTAGGGTACATTTTGCATGAAAAGGCTGTGTAATCACTGGAGTGCCACAGTATTAAAACCCATACCGTTTTTATTTTAAGGTAAAAATTAGGAATGCGGGGAGATAAAAGATCGTACTTATATGGTTATTCAAATGAAAGCACAAACCATAAATAAGGGCCACACTACGCGTGAGACATCAGCCTGTAAAAAACGGCAAGGTTAAAAACAAATTTGACCCTAGAATGGAATAAATATTGCTGTCCAAATTTATTACAATTGGTCGACTGCCTGCTGTACTCATACAATTCTGAAACAGCCATATTACAAACGTGCTTTCGGGTTATTGTAGACAGCGTACAAAACACCAGACACACTGAAAAATCAACTCAGCTGGTGACCGACAGTATCAAAGCCTTTTCTTGAGTCAACCTGGTAACTTCACCCTAAAGTGAACGTTTTTTTTTTACTGAAGACACCGTGCTGTTATCTGCTAGCTATGGAGTGGTACTCCATAATAAAACGGTCTCTCTCTTCTTGTAATGAAAAACTATTGAGATCTGCGCTTTTTTTCCTTAGGATTATGTTCTTTGCCCTGTCTGCATATTTAATCTGCTTGTAAATGTCTTTTGCTGAACTGTAATTGATAGACAAGGGTGCAACGTTATACAATGGAAAAGAAAACCGACAGTTTCTTTTCCCAGCGCAGAATGAAACAAAATGCTACACAGATTGAGCTTTGAAACTGTAGTATCAGCTCTCTCCAAGTGCAGATGCTAGGAGAAATTTATTTGCAAGGTGAACCGAAAACAGGAAAGGAATATCGGCAATCATGAGATAAAGATCTACCATCAGTTCGAATGGGTTGGAAAAATTACGACAGCCTATTGCTTTTTGTATAAACTAATCAAAACAGAAACGGGCCTGCAGCTCATTCTCCCATGCAAGTCCATAAACGTAATGTAGCTCTAAGTTATAAATGTACAAAATACTTAAGAAACAAATTCTAAAATGATGGATTTTCTTAATCCAATCGCCCCCGACTATTTAAAATACTGTGTAAATTAGAACGAGGCCCTGAAGTGTCTTGGAAACGCACCGCATTCTAATTTATACCTCAAAACAAACATTTACCTTTATACCTCCATAAAAAACATCAGCATATGAAACGTCCACGGTGAGCAAGATCGATCTGGCGTCCCATAAAGCGCTTGAACTCCTTACAAAAAGTGCCCTTGTTTGAGTTCACACCCAACCCCCCACCCCCGTCAAAAAAAAGAAAACATTAGACTAAGAATGATAAAATTGCAGGTATTTGCTCAAGAGAACAACAGAAAGGCTCTGCGGTCCACAAAAAAGGCAACGGAAACGACAGCTTTAGCAGGAGTTACAGATGCTGTTATACATAAGTACACAATGCGAATAACAAACAGTACAACAAATGCAACTATTCATGGCGGTTAACATTTTACTGCTGTGTGATATATGGTCCCTTTTCCCTTCTCCGGCAGAGATTCAATATTCTACGTTCCTCCAAGGTATGGCTGCGCTTTCTGAATTGTTGAATTCTCTTCTACTGGACTTCATTTTATTTTCTGTATACCAGTATAAAAGGTCGGAAATGTGTATGTGTACGTGTGTGTGTGTGGGGGGGTGTATCACAAAACGTTCCGCTCTGTTAATCATCGCAGAAAGTGCAATGCAAAACGCATCTCATGTCCAATTTCCAGATGTAATGTTTAACATAGAACGGTATTCTAATTCTTCAGACTTGTCCATGAGCCTGGAGTAACAAGACGATCGTTATGGCGAGCAGGCGGCCATTTCGAATGGACAACTTGACCGGTGACAGAATGTTTAAAACGCGAAAGAGGTCACTGGGTCTTAGCAATTTACAAAGGTTGTCTGTCCTTCCAACAGAATTTGGGGTTACGGGGTTAAGGACTAAAACCCCCCAAAAATGCATAAGCCCTTTAAAACTCGGGCATTTAGGAAGGGGACTGGAACTGCTCGCCACACTTTATTACTACGTGGTACTTCAGCCGAAATGCTCACGTTTGAACAAAATAGGACGCGACTGCTTTCGTTCAGTACATCAGGTTTTTAAATGCTAAATTCTTTGTGTTTAAAAAAGTGACTGAGTCAAACAACAATCCATAACGCAGAGCAGGCAAAACTTGAACAGAGATAAACCTTGAACCTTAAGACAGACAAACTCAAATATTTGATATGGGTGGCCGTGGATTCCCCCCTCGGCTGATAAGCATAATGTCATCTGGATAGCGTTTGCTGTACAACCTATCGGACACCACAACGCGTTTGAACCGTTATTTTGGTATGCTATAAGATCTAAGGAGAAATAAAACGACAAATTCGCAGAAGGTGGATAACTTGGCTCGATTAAAACGTTTTTATTTAAAAAGAGGCCTTCTGTGAACTGAAAGGATGTTAAAAGCGACCGATTTATAGACATTACAGCGGATCTACGATGGAGGGAGATAATTTAAGAGGATTTGTTGTCGAGCACTGGACTTGTATAACCTTATCTGCACGAGGTGAAGCGTGGATCATATTACCCAAAGAGCCCACCTCCTTTCACGGTCGCGAATCGCAAGCTTTTACAAATTTCAGTATCACACATTTTACTCAAGAATACAATAATATGAAATAGTTAAGAGGGGAGACCACGGTGCCTTTTCACACACAAACTCTGAAGATCGGAGTTATGGGAGTGCAATACACGTCCCCACTCCTTTAAAGTATGAAAATGCGCTTTACATTCATTTAGACAATAACACCAAACACTACTAAGTAAACGGACCTGCTATCTTTCTGCTTTATCTACATTACAAAATACGTCTGCTATACAGGGCGCTGTGCCAAACACAAGGAAAGCACTAAAAACATGTAACGCAATTTCTAAAATAAACAAAAACAGGATTCAGGCAACACAAATAAGCAGCCATATTTGATACTTTGTAATTGTTGTGCAATTAATATTGTTGAGCTGAAGAGTTTTTTTTCTGTTCAGCTTTAAAATTATCCGTTTTCCCATAGCCTTTCACAAAAACGATGTTAATTTCGTCCAGGGTGTGTAAAGTAACAACTACCAGCATGTGCCCTCGAATTACGTAACACTTCAAACGTTTACATTTAGTCCAAGTAAAGAGAGGCCGTTCTAAATTTATTAAATGAGGAACTTTTAGCCCACGTCGGAACTGAGCTGGTAGAAACCGCACTACACTACACGAATTGCCTCTTTGGTTACTGTCGTATTGATATTAACACACTAAGGGAGCTTCATTTTAATGTCCACTGTTCTCAGTTTTTCAATAAAGTTTAAATTTACAGTAAGAAAAACTGATTACCGTTCTCACACCTGCCCTCTCCTAAAAAATACATACGGTTTTCTTGTTTGTAAATAATCTCCACAGTACGCCACAAAGTGTTTTTTTAAACACAGCATATGTAGTTGCATTTAACATACAAAAATCCAACAGAACTACCCAAGAAAAATGAACAAAACTAAAACTTACATCCAACCGATTTAAACAAAATCCCCGTAAGCGTCAATATATTCATAGAACACTTCTTTTTTTTTTTGTAAAATCCGGTTTCTATTCTCAGTGAAACCTATCCGAATTTTAAGAAAGCTTCAAAACGCGGATTTTAAAAACTCACCGTGATGAGAATGAAGATTCATGGCCGATGACATGTATTTTCCAGTATGGAGAGGCGCCGGGTGCCCCGAGCCCAAGTGACCGGGGGAAGGTGGAATTCGCCCGGCAGCGGTGGCCGCTCCGAGCCGGTGAGACTCCATAGCCAAACTCGGGAGCAACGGAGGAGGTACGTGGACAGATCTGGGGGGTCCGAAATCACGGCCATCCATCATCCAAAACAGGTAAACGTGATAAAAAGAAACGGTCCAGTCAGAAATTCCGAGAAACCCAGGCTGTTAAACAGTCCCTGTATTTCCAGGCAAATCGGTGTCCGTTTTAGGCATTTCGTCTTACCTAAAAATAAAGAAAATGCTTTTAAAACACAAACTCTCAAACTCCCTTAAAGTAAAATACTACATTAAACTCCGACTTTAAATTTTCAGCCCGAATAAACCGAACAGTACTTTTCCCGTAATGTTTTTATTTTAATAGGTCCCGCGTCTATTTTCTTGTTTTGAAGCAATCGAAAGCTTTACTGCATTTTGTTGCAAATCACGAGCTTTTCTTCTAAGTCAAACGCGGCATTCAAGACTCTTTACCCCGGAATTCCCACTTAAAAACATCTAAATTATACATTTATGATTTAGTGTGGTTTAAATCAAGGCAGTCTTGATTGCAAGATTCCCCTGAAGGCAGTTTTTAACTTAAAGCAAAATCTCTAAAGCATTCATTTCACAGCTTCACAGCAAACGTATCGCCATTTTTTCCTCTAGTGAATGTCCCATAATATAAATAAACAATCGGTGCCGAATATATTGTCTTGCATCGATATAACGATACAAATATAAAACACTGGAATATTTTTTGAAGGGAAACAAAATCCAAAGGTTTCTTGGCACAGAAAGCTTTAAAACTTGTCTCTTTACTACAGCAAATTAATTGTAATATTCACATTACACGAAGATACTTCCGTAGATATAAACAAAAATATATCAATATTCAAAGAGTTGTTTTGTTCCTATTATAGCAAGTATAGAAACTGTGTAAAGGATTAAAACAGCTAGCAGTCAAGCCATTTCAAAATCTTATCGGACTGCTTCTCGCCTTACGCAGATAGATGTAGCCATTAAAATATGCTAAAAAAAGCCCGAAAAATATCTAAAATATGAATAGTCTAGCCTACTAACTTTTCCCCTTGCGTTATCAATTTTCTGGATTTGTTGAACTCTTGTGAGCTTTTGTGGACTTGAGTTTGATACCAATGTATCGCTTTGAGACTTACATTTTATACGAAATAAGTTTTAACCTACTGGATATCAAAATTGTTCCGAACAGTAAAGCACGTATACAGAAATCGCCTAAAATGGCCAATTCGTGTTATAATTAAAAACAGCCTGCTCCGTGTAATCACGAGATTGCTTACATCGGCTTAATTTGCTTCTTTCCGATAATATTATATCTTTGAATAAGAAAGTATTGCATAAAATGTGATGGCGTAAAAATACACCACTCTCCAGGTTATAAAAAAAACTCAAACTTAGTTAAGTTTACATTTTCTCTCAGAATATTATAGTTATACCTGGTTTTCAAACTTCTTACTTACAAAACTTCTTCAAAATAAACTTCTTTCTCCATCTTCTCTAACACACACAAAAAAATCACTTCTTATGGCTGCCGTTTTTAGTATTTCGAGAAACATCTTCTGGATCAAATCCCATGTTATAAACCGTTGCCCGCCTTTTAATTTAGGTTTTTTAAAGAAAGAAATTCAGGAGTCCACTCTTTATCCATATGGTCTGGTTTAAAAACATCTCCTCCTGGTAAAAAAACACCTCGGTGCTCTGTTGTGAGCGAGTCCCACATAAAAATTCCAACGCTTCGGATAAATCCAGCCGTTTGCAGAAAGATTTCAAATACTCCATATACAGACTATCCGTAGATAAGCTATAGGCTAACATTGAAAAAAAACCCTCCAAGTCCCTCTCTGTAGATCTCGGAAAACTCTTTAGCAATGAAACAAGCATTGTTTTACAAGCCCCGCCTCCGCACGACAGAACAGCCAAATGTCGCAACGAATACTATGATTGGTCGCTTGAAGTGCCGATCACTTCAATGTAAACACTTTGGCTCGACGCCAGTCCTATAAAACCAATTATGGACCAAGGAGGTTGTGCGGTTTCAAGGCTCCCCTCGTCCCCCAACCGACTGATCAAAACAAGCAGTGAGAATTTTTAGGCAGGCAGTTTCAAGGCGGCTCCCCTTTTCAAGCTCTGCTGATCAAAATAGCAGAAGACGGACCTGGTAGTGGATTCAGTTCAATTCAATTGTGCTCGGTTCAGTTCATTTAGATCTCCGGAAAGCTTTTCAAGTTCAGTTTTTTTTTTAAAGAAGGAGTGTGTAGGTCTTACCGAGCAGAACTATATTCTTCTGGAAACTAGCATGTTGATAAAAACAACACAAAGGCCTGGGGTAGTTTAACTGCTTAGGCGAATACAACGTTGGTTTAACTCGATTTTTGGCGCAAGACGTGGCTAACTGAGAAGAAATGTTAAAAAATTAAACCTATTTGAGACTGGGCGGGCTCCTTTGTAAACTAGTTCAGCCTGGTAAGTGAATGAGTAATTTCAATATGCTCTCATAAAATACGTTCAAAATTAATGCAGCTATTTGTAAACTTCACTGATTGATTAATATCGCCATTGTTAGGAGCCCGGTCCCTTTATCAGCGATATTGAGTGAGGAGATAAATCTTGTCGATACCGCTAGAGCAGCGTAGTCAAGGTCATAAGGGGTGCTTTTACCTTATTACGGAGCGTGAATAATGGTCCCCCCCAAATAATCAAGCAAAGCGGGTTCTGTTACAGTAACTCATTCGATAACAAGAACATAAATGTAGCCGGAGAGGAAAAGTGAGCACACTCTGCATCTCTCACGTTTACTGTTCTGAAAATAGTTAATAGAAGCTTGGGTTTCAAGTTTTGAAGAGAGCCGTTTTTAAGTCCAAAACTCCACCCCAGCTGGCCCAGTTTAGCATTACTCGGCAGGCGTAATGATCAGTCGGTGGTTCAACAATTTTATGAACTGGGAGCCGAAGTGGTGGTGTCGGTACAATCGCCGAGGTGCTACCGAACTGGGGGTGTGTCCTTTTAAAAAAAAATCATTGTTCGATTTCTTCTTTAATGAAAAATAAGCTCTGCGACCGTGGGGCCATACGACACCCCGAGATGCACGGAGACCACCCCCTTTACGTTCGTGGCTTTTATCTGAGATTTGGATGATCTGCGTTTCCAGGTTGCCACGTTTGTAACGACACAGATTTTAAATAGAACTTTTTTAAGCACTTTATAAGAGCACCGGTAACTTTTGTCTGTCAAAGATAATTTTCTGTCAACGTACTCCTGTGACACTGTAAGTGAGTATATGTGCGTGAATATAGGTTTCCCCTAGTAATGAATAGATAAACAAATTAAAAATAAAGTATCTACGGAATAGATGTTTCTTAAATTAAAGTGAAATATTGAATTTAGCCCCTGCTTTGTGTATAGTATTAGAGGTTAAAGAATTTGTAATATATGGTATTGTCTAAACCTGCCTGCGTTTTAAATTGTAAATTTATACAAAAATTGGAATACACATAGTTAAATGGCTTTCAGTAAAGTCTTTATATCCGACTTCTATTTGCATTGTAAATTATGAACAGTCACAAGAGTTAAATGTGGCCCGGGAAACTTTTCCTTAAAGAAGTTCGTTTTTCCTCGTAGCCTTAAAAATAAAGTGGTACATTATGCTCACATGCAGACAGTTAAAAATAACTACGTACACGTATTTCTGATTTTATTCTCCTCAGATAAAGTTGTGGATCAAAAGTATATGATTAATACCTTTATTACACCGCATGGGTTCGCTTTTAAGTATTTCACATTTCAAGATGAAAATATTTGATTCAATTCCAATTCACGATTTTCTCCAAATTAAATTTCATTTCGGATCATTAGAAAGCAAGACTGTGAGGTTTAGTGGTCCAGCCGAAACCATGCTGGTAAAGGCGTCTCATCTATGGCAGAAGTATTTTCAAAACCTGCATGTCATTAGTTATATATTAAAGTTCATTTTTTACTACGTGGATACTTTTTCGTCATATTTTGAATTATGAACGCCACATTTCATCGTGATTTTTAAAAACCGGGGAAAATACTTCGCAAACGGTTTCAAACTGCCCTTTGCCGTGCCCCGTCGTGGCGGTTTCACGGCCACCCTCTTTGGGAAGCAGAAGGGGGGGACTGAAATAGTAATGAGTCCAGGGGAAAAGCGATGTCTGAACGTTATAGCAAAGGGAGATCTCATCTGAATATCACCCAGCCACCATCTCAACCCCCAATGAAAGGATAGCAACTTTTGCAGGACTCATCAAGACTGGATTGCTCCCAATGTGGCCACTGGATCAGCAGGAAGAAGGGGGGGGCGGTGAGAGATGGGGGGAGGGGGGTTGTTGTGGCGAAGGAAATTAATGCAAGAGCCGAGCTTATGGCAGTCTGAACAGAATGCAGAGATTCTAAATGATCAATGGAGCAACAATGAATGACAACCTCCCTCTAAGCTTTTTTTTTTCTCTGTGCCTTGAGTGTTTTCTCCTCCGACCTTTATGCAAACACCGCAAATGAAATGAAAAATTGTTTTTTTGTTGTTGTTGTTGCTGTTAATTTAAAAGAGGTGTGCTGTGGGCCGCGACTTTTTTTTTCTTCCGCGACACTTCATTTCATACCAGCGGAGTCTTTCAACGTGGATTCGAAAGCTTCTGACTTTTTTTTTAAGCACAAAAAATAAATAAGCCCAATAACTTGGCTACATCCTTTTTTAGTGGCTTTCTTGGGGTACGTCCCGTCGATGTTGTTTTTTTTTTACCCGGATGGTAACGAAGTTGTTATTTTAAAGATGGGTATGTATACAATAAATGTTTCAGTTGCTAACAAAAACCGAGAGTATATGTCCTTTGTAATGCAGGTCATTCGCCGTGTGAATTTACTTTGCCTATTTGAGTCATGCAGTATTCTCAGTAGTGTTTCGTCATTTTAAAGAGCCATAACGTTCAGACTAGCGCGTCCGATAATTACAAAGCCGTGCAGAAAGTGAACAATTTGTCAGACAACAAATTTGAATTTTTAGTTAATATTTGGGGACAGGGAAGGGTCAGTTTACTTTAGCCTTCAACATCCGTGCTGTGAAAGAAAACAGCATTTACATATCGACCCCCCCCCCCTTCTCACCACCTCTAACCACACGAATCGCTGCAGAATGTAAATGCGTAAAAACGTTGCCATGTCTACAAAACTGGGGTCATCGGCGGTCCTGTGGGC